GTCACATTAGCTATAAACTCATCAGTGGACTAACTCACTGACTATCACACCTCCATGATCTATGCACCTCCCTAAAGTTCCACCTATGAGCACATAACGCTTTAGGAGACATCCAAAATAAAGGTAACAAAGACACATTATCATTAATTCCTCTCAGAATACTCTCTCACTTTAAACACACTTATCCAATCATTCTTGGCAATGCAACTTTTATCATAATGAGTTTAAAAAATTGTAAACATTGCTTTTTCAATCACTCCTTTGTATGTTTCTATCTTAGAATTTTACATTTGCTGATCTATTTTCCTAATACCACTCTTTCCCCTACATATCTTCATGGCTACCTCTTTACTTCCTTGTCTTCTCTGAAATGTCACTTCTCAGTGAAAACAAGCACTTACACGAAAATTCACCTCCTTCTTCTTAACCAACCCTCACACATTGCTAATAAGAGGCGGTTGGACAGGGGTAGAGGAATGAGACTAGAAGGTAGTAACCTCAGTAAGTATCTTTTCCTAGCGTTAAGTGAAAGTTAGCTCAGAAGAAATCATGCAATAACAGCCAGGTGTGGTGAGTGGCTTATAATCCCAGCACTTGGGAAGCAGGAGGATGAGTTCCAAAAAAAAAAGCCAAAAATTAATCAGTCAATCACCAGTTCCTACATTTGGTGAACAAGAGTTTACTGCACAGTCCTACTTTATGATACATGAATTCCAGAAATCACAGATTCCACAGAAACCAAACAGTTGCCTTTATGCATCTAAAAGTTAGTCAATAAAGAAAACTAATCTAATCAAATATTTATAAGATGTTTTTATACAAGTCATATACAAAGATATATACAGAGACCTACAGAAACTCTTTTCAAAAAGAGTTGATCAGGAATTGAAAATATTTTTTAAAAAAAGAAAGAAAATATTTTAACACTCCATACCCACATAAAAGTATATATTCTATTTAAGTGTTTATACCTAATGTAATTATAGTTATGGATTATTAGTAAAATGCCACTTAAATTTATTTATTGTTTGTTGAACTGCCACTTAAATTTAATAAACTGAAATAATTGTTTGGTTTGGGGGAGGGTTGTTTGCTTTTTTTATTTGGTAGTACGGGGAATTGATCCCAGGGCCTTCACACTGACTCTAGCCCATTTTTACTTTTATTTATTTAGAGACTAAGTCACTAAGTGCTGTAGGTTGGGCTCAAACTTATAATCCCCAGAATTATAGGCATGCAACGGTATATCAGATGTTATATGATGTTCTGTCAGTAAAACTGAGTATTGCAAAACGATAACAGATCAATTTTGATATACATAAAATTACATATTTTCTAACATTATGGGGCTTTTTAAACTGCCACATCTAACATCCAGTTATTTTAAAACCAAGGACACTAGAATCATTCTGCCAGCAACTATTTTCAGAATAATGATAAAATAACTCCCACTTATCAGTGACCTCTGTCTCTGAGGCATAAGACTAGAAATTTTTAGAAAATCTCTTGTTATTCTCAAAACAACTCACAGTATTATTATCCTCACATTAAAAACAAAAAGTAGAAGCTCAGAGACATTAAATAATTTACACAAGGTTTAACAGCAACTATTAAACCTGGAGCTCAGACCTGTCTAATTTAAAAGTCTGAATTTTTACCATTACATAACACTGCCTCCCCAACACTCATTGAAGAAATGCTAAAGGAGTGACTATTGCGTGCCCTTATAGCCTTGCCTCTGACTCCAATCAAAGATGGAAATGAAAGCTGTACACAAAGTGTGGTAAGGACTATGAAAAAAAGTATATATAAGATATTATAAATACATTAATTTCTTATACATTAATATTAATTCTGCAAAGTAGCAAGCAATCAACTTATAAAAATGTTTGGCACTTGGTGCATCTTATTTAACTACTTGATATATCTCTTCAGCTAAAACTTGATTGGAGTTTGCTGATGGAGAATTAAGATAATATTCTTGGGAGAGAAATGGTTCAAAGGCACAAAATTTTAGAAACCATTCTGCTTTCTTTCTTCTTTTTTTTGAGACGGTATGTAGTTTAGGCTGGCCTTGAACTCACTATGTAGTCTCAAACTGGTGGTAATCCTCCTGCCTCAGCTTCCAAGAGAATCTTAAGCAGTTTACTATAAAGAATAAAATGCTCAACATAAAAAATTTTCTGGGTGTGGTGGTGCACAACTGTAATCCCAGCACTAGGAGGCTGAGGCAAGAGGACTGCTTCAAATTTGCCTTAAAAAATAAATAAATAAATGGAAAAGAAGATGCTTGTAACAAATGGTAAGTAAAAATCAAGCTCATGCCTGTGATCCCAGTACTTGGGAAGCTGAGGCAGGATTGCTGAGAGTTCAAGGCCAGCCTAAACTGTGTAGTCTGACCCTGTCTCAAAAAAACAAAAATAAAAAAATAAAATAAAATAAAAATCAAGCCAGGTTAGGGAAGTTTTGCTAAATTTAAAGAGTTTCAGCTGGACACAGTGGTGCACACCTGTAATCACAGTACTCAGAAGCTGAGGCAGGAGTTTTAAATTTTAAAAAAAATTTAAAGAGTTTGGACTTTATTCTGTAAGGAATTGAGAGCATTTCCTACAGCCTAATCAGGTTGCTGTTTTATAGATATTACCCTGTCAAGATTAAAAGAATTAATATGGAGGCAGGAATAAGCTTTTAGGAGGCTACCACAAATACTCCAAGAAACACAATTTGTAATCGTTTATCTTCAAACTGTTCTGATTACATATCCTACATTTTGGATGTGTACAGACATTTGTAGCTTAAACATTCAAAGCCAGATTTCCTTTTTTTCAGTTTTTTGAGACAGGGTCTCACTATGTAGCTGAGCGTGACCTGGAATTTACTATGTAGCCCAGGCTGGTCTAGAACTCACACTGATCCTTCTGCCTCAGCCTTCTGAGTGCTGGGATTACAGGCGTGCACCACTAAGCCTGTCCATTGACTTGTGAGTTCCCTATTCAGTCTCTCAGCAAATAGTAAAACCAGGCAAGTCATTAAACCAACAACCTGGGTTTTCAATTTTTTTAAATTTATTTATTATTTTTATTGCAGTACTAGAGATGGAACCCAGGGCCTTTACACTGAGCTATAGCCTCAGCACCGCCCCCACTCTTTTTTTTTTTTTTTTTGGAGAAGGGCTAAGTAAGTTGTGCAGATTCCTGTCTCAGCCTCTCAACATGCTAGGACTGCATATTTGTGCAACCACACTTGGCTATGGGTTTCTTTCTTTTTGGTTTTGATTTTAGTAGATTTCTAGTAATTTTTTAAAGTGAAACATTTATTGGTATGTTTTAGATATACACAACAATAATATTCATCATAGGGAATTTGTACCTGTACATAATATATCTTGCTTCTTTTTTCCCATTTCTCTTCCGTACTTCAACCCCCTCTTCCACATTACTGATTTCTCCATTTGTCTACCCCACCAAACTGAATCCATTTGTTATTCATTATTTCCCAAATATATCTCAAATCTAAACATTTTCCCCTCAACTTCATTGCTTTTATGAAGCCTTAACTGCTCAAAGGGAGTACTGTAATAGCTCGTGACTGCATTCTCCCATACTTTGCTTAGTACTAGCTGGTCTCAAGTATAATTGGCAATTATTCTTATCTGTTCACTTGAATCTTGTTTCTCCACAGAACTCTCCTATAAGAACATCTTCATAAAGTCAGGAACCAAAGACTATTATTTTACTGCTTTACTTCAGCAATCTAGCATTCAACGTTTAGTACAATTAGAAACAAGAGCTGAGTTATCCCCTTTCTTTCCTTCAGTGGTAAAAGCCACATCACCCTAATGATTATCCATGCTTCCATAATCCTAAAACAGGGAAGTTATATGAGCCTGAGGCGCCAGATTACTGATAACAGTGAAGGACTGGGAGAGGTACCTTAGGCAGTGGTGCTTGGCCCTAAAAATACTGGAAGCCTGAGTTATGAAGTCTCTTTTTCCCTTTTCTCCCCTTTGCCTTTCTGCCTGTTCCTGCTGCTACCATCCCATGATCTTCAATAAACATAGCTACTTGCTACATACTACAAGACATGTGGTTGGCAATTCTTTCCTTCTACACAAGAACCTGGACTATTTTGGGCCCACTCAACTGTAACGCATCTCCCTGATCACCACAAGTAAGAAAATTAATTTAAAAAAACACATACACACTATATGTCAGGCATTATTTAAATGTTTTACACACACACACACACACACACACACATATATATTAAACAGCTTCATCCTAATTAAAACCTCTTACGGTATGTAATTGTTTTGTTCTGTTGAGAGGTCTCAGTTTGTAGTTCAGTCTAGTCTTGAACTTTATAGACCAGGATGGTCACAAAAGCTGGCGTTACAGGCCTGTGCCCACCACACCCAGCTCTCAATTTACAGATGAAGGAAACAGAAGCAAAAACAAGAACCTCGTTTGCTAAGCTTATTAGGCTGTAGGCACCCAAGTCTTTTTAATTTTTCCCATAAGTGTATTATAGTTGGAACCCTGTCGCCATTTGTTTGGTGGCCAGGATACTCAAAAAAAGAATGAAAATGAGACCATCTGTGGTTACCCACCCAAAACCTGTCCAGGACTTTTCTCCTCCTTCAAAATTGACTTCCAAAATAGGTTTGTACAAGTGGGAGGAGTCAGCGCAGAAATTCTGAGTCCACTTAGATTTGAAGTTGTGCTTTATGCATAGTGGTGAAAGAGCTGGGCGTGGTGGCACTCGCCTGTGATCCCAGAACTGAGGCAGGAGGATAGCTGTTCGAGAACAGCCTGGGCAACAGAGTGAGTTCCAGGTCAGTCTCAACTACATAGTGAAACCCCATCTCAAAACAAAACAAAAGGCGAAAGGCAATAAAAAGCATATTCTACAAATATACACATGCAATCTAACAGTGCTCAGACCGAGACGAAAAACTGGACTCCAGGATTAAGGCCTTAGGAGTTGGGGATTAACCTCACCTCACTTCAACCGCTCTTCCTTAAAATTCAATTAAATTCTCTTCAATTTTCTATTTTCCACGCTAGAAGCTAAGGATTTACCCAGCACGTCAATCCCAGAACCCCGCACCTTGTGCATTCGCTGCAGGTCTCCAACTCCCGCCACAGGTTTGGGATGTGACCGCCCCTAAGCGGAAGTGACGTTTTCAAAGGACGCCCTGAAAAGAGTTCAAATACCAGCAATATAAAAGAGGTATGTTCTGAGAAAACTCTTCTGACCTGTTGGCTTTCCCTTCTTCTGTTATCGTGGTGAAAAGAGTTCACTGCAGACTTAGCACCACTCGTTTCCAACACTCATTTCAAACTTTGTCCCTCCTTTATCCGCCAAGAAGGCGACACGACTACCTCCCAGGAACTACAATTCCCGTCAAGGCTTGCAAGAAGGAAGGGGGGGGGAAAGACAGAAAAGTGGACGGGTGGGAGCAAAGCACCTAGGGAATTGTAGTCCCATAGGCTGAAAAGAGCTGTCACCCCGCCCTCCGGCGGGGGAAACCAGGTGTTCAGCTTAGAACCCGTTACCTCTAAAGGGAGGAGCCAAATCCTTGAGCAGCATGTTTTTCACTACACATGGAGGACAAAATTTTTGCTTTATCCTTATAAAACACTAAGAATATTCTTTGAAGAAATACAGTGGTCTTTTCAATAGCCTCAGCCAGGAAAAACTCCCAGAACTCCCCTACCTCAGACTCCAACTCGTGGGAAAAGGTGGCTCTTTCACAAGTGGGCAAAATGGCTGTCCTTCTAGTTTTGCTATTGGTTGCTTTTTGCGTCCTTCAAGTGTAGTTACTTACCACGGATTGGTTATTTTTCTCTTGAGGGTGGAGAAAGACTTGGCAGGACTTCCTCGCGGCCGAGAGGAGATCAAGGGGTGGAGAGAAGACGGTTTTCACAAGTGTGATTGGGCAGTGTTGGTGTCACTCTGTGGACGTACAGCCTATGATGGAGTCGGCTCAAAGAGCGAAGGGGCGGGGCTACTGCGTGGTGGGAAGGGGCGGGATTTTGCCGCCGCGGCTGCCGCTGGAGCCGGTGTCCGGGCTGGTGATGGGGTTAATTTCCTTTCGTAAGACTCTTACTTGTACCCACCCAGACCCGCCGTCGCCTCGCCGCGCCGCGCTCCAACCACCTCCTCCTCCTCAATAACGCGGGTAAGAGATGTTTTTCCCTCCCCCTCCAGCTCCCCGGGAATAACGCGCCTCGCTCCCCTCCCCCGCCCGCCAACCGGTAGCGCTAACGGAGCAGGAGGCAGGCAGGGGAGAGGTGTGTGTGAGAAGGTGGCCTTCCGCGCAGAGCAGTCGGTGCTCCAGCGGAGCTTTGCCGCCGTTGCCAGCCCGCGAGGAGGTCGGGTTCCGAAGGAGACGGGCTCTCCTGGCCGGCTGCAGCGGTGCAGTTGCATCCACTTACCTTGTGCCCACTGCCCCCACATGGGGGCCATGTGAAAAGCAAACCCCTCGAGGCCTAGGGGAGGAGGCAGGGGAAAGACTCCCGAGTCTTTGCCATGGCTGCTGCTGCAGCTGCCCTTGCAACCCCAGGGACTGGGGAACCAGCCACAGCAGGCCTGCCAGGAGCGGGTGCAGTGTGCGGTTCTGCTCTCTCGGGTGCCTGACGCCGGTGCCCCGGGCTGGCTGCCCGCCCCACGGCCGCAGCCCTGGCCTTGCACGGGAGAATTCTCAAAAAGGAAATGACCGGTTGGTGAAATCAAGGTATATATTACCTGTGGTACAAGATAAAGCCCAACGAGAATATTAAAAAGAAAGTTGAATGACAGTGCCACGGTCCTAGGGGATCACATTTACACGCGTTATTGTGCTTGAGCCCTTCTATATTCCCGTGTGTTTTTAAGTTTTTAGTTGTTTTCTTTTGGATGTGGTATTCAAAGAAGTCAGTGTTCTTTGAACTTATTTTTATAAAGAAACTTAAAATTGCTTGAGGTTCTTATGTCTCGGGTGTAATTGTCCTGGGATAGCGAGTCAACTAAGTAAAAGATGAAGAGACACTTCCCTAAAATAGGCTGAGTATCAGTGCTCTAATAAAATTTTTCGGAAAAAATTCCTATCTCCAAAGTTATAGTTTTCCTAATTGTAACTTTGAAGAAATACTTTCCTTTTGGCATAAATGTCATTGATTACGAGAACATTTGGGTAATAAAAAAAATGGCGAAAGTCAAACTGGGAGTCCACCTATTTCAATGTTGGAGTCAGTAAAACACAAAATACTTGGTAGGCCACCAGTTTGACTAGAGTAACTGAGCATGCCTGAGTTTTTAAAAATATGGCATATTTGGCTCTGTTTTAGGACATTCTCATCAGGTTTATTGACTACTCATACCATTCTTTGTTTTTTTTTGCCTCAGGATATAAATTTAAATAATGAATTTTGTAATCTGTAGTAGACATGCCTATATCAGATAAAATTCTAGGCCCATTTCTGAATAAACTTTGGTTCTAAAAAATAACCAATCTCTGTTAAACCATATGTTTAAGATCTGAGAAGACTACTAGCTTAATGATGGTTCCAAGAAGAAATATAGATTTTTTTTTTTTTTTTTTGGTACCTGAAATCAAACTCAGGACCTTGAGCTTGCGAGGCAGGCCGCGGAACCACTGAGCTAAATCCCCGGCCTGGATATGTTTTAATATAAATATAATATATAACTTTGGAAAGTAAGTCCCGTCAGCTCCCCAAGGAGTAACCCATAGCATATATTGCCCAACATGGTAGTTTCCAAAATTTGGTTTTTAATTGATAAATTATACAATTGGTGCTTTTAGGTCTCATGTGTATTATATGCAGAAAGGACTGATAGTAAAATAGGAAGTTGCTATATGGACTCGTTTCTGAGCCTCAGTTAAGTTTATCTGGAAAATGGAGATAGTAATGCTGAATTTATGGAGTTGTGAGGATTAAATATGAAGGTAGTTTGTGCAATTAAATATTAACCACAATTGGGCTGGGGATTTACTTCAGTGGTTTCGCTGCCTGCCTCACAAGCACAAGGACCCAAGTTCGATCCCCAGTACAAAAGAAAAATATTAATCACAGTTATCTTCATGCATATTTGGAGAATTTGTTGTTCTTATGTACAAGGTATTGTAGCCTCAACAGTTCTGTTATTGAGGAATTCTGTAGTATTGGACTATTAATTTATATGATGGCTTAAGTAATTATAATTTGGAGCTAGGCAAAAGGTATTATTTAAGCCAAAGGTATATGGGAAAGTGGTCATTAGGTACAGAAGAGTTCATCTAATGGAAGATTCTTTGGGTCTTTGAATTAAATAAAATGCAAGTGTTTGTGAAATATATTTCAAATCTGGAATAAAATTAATATATTCCATATTATTGTAATATTTTAAAAGTTTTATTTAGCTGATGTATGTGGTTTTTGTTTTGTGGTACTAGGGATTGAACCCATGGCCTTAACACTGAGCTAGTTAGCTACCTCCCAGTACCTTTATTTTTTTAATCTTGCTATGTAGTTCAGGCTGACCTCAAACAGTAATCCTCCTGCATCAGCCTCCCAAGTGTTGGGATTACAGGTGTGTGCTGCCACGCCAGCTTTTCCCTTTTTTAAATTTTGAAACAGGGTTTCCTGAAGTCACTGTGCTGCCCAAGCTGGGTTTGAATTTGAGATCCTCCTGTTTCCGCTTTTAGGGTGCTCAGATTATAGGTGTGCACCACTCTGCCCAGCTATTTGATGTGTGTTCTAAGATTTCCTTTTATAGTTCCTGCATATGTTCATTGTGCTACCAGGCTACGCAAGTAACAATGGAACTCTTAATACAGTTACAATTAAGCAGTTTGTGTGACAGTACTATAGTTTTCTTGCTGTTTTGTTTGTAATTCTCATTATTTATCAATACTTGAGTGCTTTTTTTTTCTTCTAGTACTGGGGATCGAACTCAGAACCTTACACTTGCAGCAAAGGTGCAGCACCACTGAGCTAAATCCCCAGCCCCTTGAATGTTTCTTTTCTGTGAAAAATGCCAGGCCCACTTTTCCTCTCTCTTCCCAGCCACTTTTGGGTATATGTTAGGTCTTTATACATACAGTACTTGGAATTTGTGTTAAACTAATTTAACGTTAGCATGAAACATTTAACTATAAAGTGTTTGTGACCTTAATGCCCCGCCAGGGTTTGAGGCAGTTGTATCTTATGCTAAATAATAATCTGAGGTGGATAATGTGGTGTAACTCAAGTTATTGAACTCACTGCAATTGAGTGTTCCTCCAAGGAGGCCCTACATAGTGGCAGCAGTAGAAAGTTTTGTAAAATCCAAATAAGCTCTTTCAAATATTATGCAGAAGACATTGCCATGCTTTGCAAAGTAAGTTTTTTTTTTAAATGGTACTTTAGAATACCGAGTTATACCCATTTGAGTTAATATTAAATTTCAGTTCTCAGAAAGTAGTGAGAGTTCTATTTTTTTCTATTCTGAGATTTGATTAGTTTGTAATATATATTGCTATTTGAATTAGAAAATTTCACTTTAAGCACTTTCCATGTTCTGTTGTAAATAAGTAGGGCTTTCATGTGCGAAAGATTTGTGGTTCCCATATGGTAATAAAATTTTCAAATAGCTCTAAAAATCGACACCAAACCACAGATTCAGTACTTTTGCCTTTATAGTCACTTTTGAATACAGGAATAACAGTTTACTACTTACAGCTTTAGATGACTAAACGAGATGACAATTGTAAAGAAAAGATTAAGTGTTAGTTTTTTTCAGTGTAAGAAAAAGCTTTTTTTTTTGTTTTTGAGACAAGATCTCACTCTGTAATTCAGGCTGGATTTGATCACACTATGTAGTTTTAGATTTGTGGAAATCCTCCCTCAGCCTCCCTAAAACTCACGATGACCCTCCTGCCTCAGCCTCCCAAATCCAGGGTTACAGGTGTGTGACACCACACCTGACCCAGTAGGAAGCTTTTAAAAATATGAAATCATCTTCCACTTAATCTCTGCTAATAGTAAGGACATAGGAAATGAATCAAATCACATAAAAACAAATTTTATTTTATTTTAATTTTTTTGGTACCAGAGATTGAAC